CTTCAGGCTGCAGGTCTTAGGTCCTCACTGCCTTGCTCAGTGTCATACACAGGCCACTCTGCTTCTGAAGAGGTGCCCACATTCCTTCTCGAGTGGCCTCTTCCATTGTCAACCCATGAAGGGCATGTCAAGTTATTTTCACACTTAGAATCTCTTTAACTTCCTTTTCTGCCACTAGCCTGAGAAAGCACTCTGTTTAGAAAGGACTCAGGTGATCCAACCTGGATAATTTCTCATTTCCATATAACCAACATAATCATGAATTAGAATATCTCATCATAAACGTCCACTAGCAAAAAGGAGGGAAATTTGGGGGTCATTCTTAGAATTTTGCCCAAAAAGGCTATTAAATAATCCCCTTCTCTAACTACGTATCTTTGTGAGACTGGATTTTCTTCATGTGTTTCAACCAAAACAACATATTTCAACAGATTCAATTGTGACAATTGAGTGGTCTCTTATTCAGTCAGATATTGAAAAGATTTGCAAAACTGCAATGCAAAGCCACTTTTCTTGCTATTTTTTTTTTGTTTTGGAAAAGTTATTTTTCATAACTATGCTATTTATTTTTACAGGCAATGAGTTAATTGTGATTTTGAATTACAAATCATTTTAAAATTTTAGGGTCTAATATGGTAACTATTGATAGCTATAACCCATAAAAATGATAGCCTCTTGTAGGCTTATACCTTTTTAACTTATACCTTTAACTTATTAACTTATACCTTTTTATTATTTATTTTTAAATATACCTACACAGACTCCATATATGTCATTTTAGTATTCTGTGTGAAAAAATATAGAAAGATACAGAATTCTTTTAAGTGTACAGTTCCATGAATTCCAATTGCATAGTCACACAAAACTAGCATGGTTCCAACAACCAAAATAATTAATTCCCTATGCCACACCATTGTGGTCAACCCCTTTGCCACCCCCAAATCCCGACAACCACTAATCTGTTCTTCATTGCTATACTTTTTTCATTTCAAGGCTCTAATATAAGTGGAATCATACAATATGCGGCATTCTTAGTCTGGCTTCTTTCACTCAGCATAAGCACATCTGAGCTTCATCCATGTAGCTGTGTATATCAATTCTTTTTTATTGCTGAGTATTCTGTTGTACAGCTATGTTAGTTTGTTTATCCACTTACTAGTTGAAGGAAACTGGAATCATTTCCTAAATTTTTTAAAAATGTAAAATGGTCTTGAGACCAAAAATTGTGAGAGATGATGGTATTGGAGGTAACATGTTTACATGGGAAACCAGTGATGGTTAAAAGAGCTATGTTTGAAGGTAAGACTGGAAGGAATGAAGGGGAGAGGAGAAAAAAATGGGGAGGGGAGGGTACGGGATGGGATGAGAAGGAACGGGGTTGCAAAGGGTCAGAGAAAGAGAAAAGAATGAAATTAAATCTAACTTTGCAGTTTCTGGCTTAAACTGATTTTCTCAAATGAAGACAGAAGGTGGATTGGCTTTAGTTCAAAGGACACCCAGAACACACATTTTGGACCTATTGAGTTTGAGATGCTTTGGAGCAATGTAAATGAGGAGTCAGTATATAAGGGTCTGAATTACAGAAAAGCCTTGCAGATAATGACGATTTGGAAGTTATCAGGATACAAAGGGTAACTGACACCACGGGAGATAAGTGGACATGCAGAGTTATAAGGGAAGAAGATCTGGGTCAGGTTCCTGAGAATCACCCACATTTAAGGGTCTGGCAGAGAAGGAGGAGTCAATGAACAAGATAGGAATAAGAGGAACATGCGGGGCAAAGTTATTGGGGTCAGTGAATGTTGCCTTGAAGTCAAGTAAGTTGAGGACAGAAAAGTATCCGTTATCCAGTTACGTTGGTGGCATGGGGGTCATCTGTGATCTTGATAATAAATTCCTGGTTTGGTAGAATGATGGGCTTGGGTTGTCTCTACTCCCCTCTCTGCCTTAGACTCTAACTCCTTCTCCCATAGTCTTCTCAGCCCCGCCCCTTTGCTTCTAAAAACACTCATATTTCTACTAGATTCCTCTTTTCATAAGACCATCTCCCTCTCCTTCAGACCTTGCTTTGTTCACATCTTTCTTAGATTTCTTCCTCAAAAACCCCTCTCCTACCTCTTCTGCTCTTTTTCCTAACCCACCTCTTCTCAGACCCATGGTTTCCATCTTTGATTCTCCCACGGCTCACCCCTCTCCTGAGCTGCTTTTCTTAGGTTGCTGTTCTTCCCTCTCTTTTTACAGATCCCTTTTCATTCCCCCACCTATCTGGTCTCCGGATCTCAGGTTACTCAGAAACTCCTGGACTCGATACTGAGGAGTCATAGTCTTTGGCACGATTCCACCAGGATCTGACAGTGCTAACCTGTAGGAAACAGTGTTAGAACCTAACCCTTGAGTGATTGCCAATATGGTAACCACATCCTGCCAACACTGTGCCCTCATCCGCCCTGGCACCTGCCCCTAAGTCTCTGCCTTTCGCTAGCCTCAACTGTAGAGAGTCCCTATGAGCTGTAAGTTGCTCCTCTACAACACATCCTATTGTGCATTGGACCAGCATTTTCTACTTGTCAAAATGCTTCCATATTCATTTGCCCAGCCTTGGGAAATCAACTGGATGAAGCCTGGACAAAGCAGATACGAAGACTTGCCCCAGGTCACGCAGCTGGTTGGCCTAATATCCCTCTCACCCCTTTGGTCTTGCTTGCCTTTGTACCTAAAGACTCCCTGGCCTTAGGCCTCCATGGTGGTGCAAAGCGTTAAGAAGCAACCTATGAGGCTGTCCACAGCCTCTGCAGCACGAGTTCAATCCCCGGCCAGGGAGCCACACACATGGCACAGCAGACCTCTCCTGACTCACCCGCTGCTCCCCTCAGCAGTGTATTTCAGTCAGTCTGCCTGTTCTGTTCCCTACTCTGTCTCTGGTGAATCCTTTCACTGCCCCCCCCACCTCTGGCCTGTACCTCAGTTCTTGTATGCATAAATAAATAAATCTTTAAAAAAAAAAAGACTACCTGGCCTTGAAGTCAGGCATGGCCGGCCCAGCCTGCCAAGAGGAGACACCTTCTCAAGAGCACTGCAAGTGGACCGGCAGCCCATTCATACTGCCAGGCAGATATGCGCCATCTTGGGAAGGAAGATGATTTCTGATTTGCTTCTCTGAATTCATACTAAGCAACAAATCTGACTGTTTGCTTTACTATTACTTTTAACATGTAATGGAACATAATGATTAAGAGCCAAACTCCAGGACTGGCCAAGTTTGGTGCCCAAATCTGGGTCTCTGCTTTGCAAGATAATGTTTATGAAAACCTTTAGCACTGTGCCTGTCACCTAGAAAGTGTTCAGTGAACAGTGGCCACTTACTGTATCATTCTTGCGTGGGAGTCATTGGGTGGGAGTCAGTGTACACCCTGTAAAGTTTACTGAACCAGATATCTAAAGACAAGATTCTGGATCACACAATTACTGTTTACCTTTGGGATGTTGGATAACTCATTCACTTCTTTTATTTGGGTTAAAGTTTTCGCATCTGGAAATAGTAATAGCTGTTCTACTTTTGTCATCTCTTGTATTAGCCTTTGAATCACGCATGCTTGTTAACCTAGCAAATCTATTCCTAGGAATTTGTCAGTATCATTGTACAAAGATGTTAGGTTCTAATAGTGCAAAAGTGGAAATAACGAGATAGTTGATGATTTAATGAATGATATTTCTATATGATAGAACACCATGCAGCATTGAGATTGATGTACATTAGTGCTGTAATTGAGATGGAAATTGGGTCATGTCAATGGACCATATTAGCATCATATCATTTTGCACTTTAGAAATGATAGAAAGTTACAGAATTTTAGAGTATAATGCCACTCAATTTTGTAAAAACATTTGTATTCATGTCTTCTATAGCACATCAAAAATATTTACAGTGATTAACATTATACCTCTTACCAGTACTATTATGTGATCTTTATTTTCCTTTTTTTTTTTTTTGCTCTTTTTTGGTATTTGATATTTTCTGAATTCTTTGCAATAATATCCACTATTTTTCTAGTCAGGAAAAAATAGAAAGCTTTCTTTTTCCATTTGGAGAGGAAATCCAATTGCTGCATACCCCTCCACAGAACTTTGTGTGTGTGTGTAGAAGAACTGGGGCATAGGCCAGAGGTTTGCGGGGGTGAGAGGATTCACTAGAGACAGAGTGGGAAGCAGAACAGGCAGACTGACTGAAATACACTGCTGAGGGGAGCAGCGGGTGAGACAGGAGAGGTCTGCTGTGCCCTATATGGGTTAGTTCCCTGGTTGGGGATAGAACTCAAGCCTAGGCCACCAGGGAGGCCCTCCACAACTTTTGAGAGGCTCAAATGACATAGGTTATGGATGGTTCTGATTAAGGGGGAACCTCGCTGTGTGTGGTACCAAGGGGAAGCCCAGGTTTCTCATCTTTGCCTCATCCTCGTTGCAGGCAGCTGCTCTTTGAACCCCCCAGAGTCGGAATCTGCAGAATGCACATTTGCCCTTGAGCCTTGGTGTTGGACTCAGGGGTAAGGTAGTGCCAGGGGCTTGCTGGGGAACTAGGCTGGGTGGAAGCATCCGCAGGGCTGCTGGCAAAGCAGGGCTGCTGAGCACCAGCTCATCATGGGGTGTTTATGAAGCTTACTTCCTGCTGTGCCTCAGGGCCTTGGGCCAGGGACATCTAATAGGTGGGAGTAACAGAGCCCCCTCCTCTCCCCACCCCTAAAGCTGGAATGTTCTGAATTCCTCCTTGGGCCAAACCCCTCTCCTTCCAAGGCCTCTCCAGGGCTCACAGAGGTCACTGCACAAAAGCCCAGCTGGAGTTTTTGACAGGAAAAAAACACAAAACTCACCAAAGATTTTTTTTTTAAGTACCTCAGTCTTCCATAGCCACCAGGGGTTTAATTCTGATCTGTAATAAGTCTCTGATCCAAGAGTGAGATTTGCAGATGGATTTTGCAAAGCTGTGGCTAACAATTAGAAATCCTTTATCACCTCCACCGGGGGCCCTTGCACCTTGCTCCCCTCATCAGGACCCCTTCCTTCCTCTCCAGGGCATCCATCTCCTCCAAGTCTCTGCAAAAGAACTGCTTCGTAAGTTTCTCAATTCTGACTTATTTGTTGCCCTTTGAATCCACCTAGGTGGGTGCTTGCTAACTATTTGCTGTCGATGTAACCAGTGGTGTGGCCAGCTTGAGACACCTTGGTTTTTGGAGGGAAGGGCATGGAAGGGAAAGTTCCGGTACTTCTTGGGTTGGTGGCATTTGTTTCCACAAGGCTACCACAAAGTTTCCAATTTTGAAAATACAGGGTCAAAGGAAGTACTTTCTAAATCAGATAATAATTTCTGGATAGAGCTTTTGAGGGTCAAAAGATTGAAATAAAGTCACAGGAAGAAAGGAGCTACAGTTTATCCCTCTGTCTAACCATGGAGGGCTAGGGAGGACTCCAAGGGGTGCTCCCTCACTCCTTCTCCAGTACTTTCCTTGACATGAAGACTCAGGCAGTTCACAGAAGGTAGATTTCTGAGTGAAGTCACGAAGTCTCCCCCACAAGCCCTTAAAGAACACTGCCCTACAGGCCTGCAAGTTTCCTCCTTTGAAGAAAATTCTGCCATTTGCAACAGCATGGAAGACCCGTGAGAGCGCATTATGCAAAATAAGTCAGCAAGAGAAAGACAAACACTGCATGATCTTACTTAGATGTGGAGTCTTAAAAAGAAAGGTCATAAACACAAAGAGCAGAGCGGTGGTTGCCAGGAAAAGGGAGGGGAAGGAAAAGTGGGGAAATGGGTGAAGGGGGTCAAAAGGGACTAACTTCCAGTTATCGATTATATAAGTCACGGGGGTGTAATGTACAGCATGGTCAGTATAGTTAATAACACTGTATTGCATTTTTTGAAAGTTGCTAAGAGACTGGATCTTAAAGTTCTTACCACAAGAAAAAGATTTGGTGTGTGAAAATGGTTGCTATCTAAACTTATAGTGGTTGATCATTTTGCAGTAAATATATATATCAAATCATGTTGTACACCTAAAAATAAGATAATATTACATGTCAATTATATCTCAATAAGAGTTTAATTTAATTTACAAAAAGGAGATACCTCTTTGGATTAAGATACCCTCTTTGAGAATGGAGTTGGGACCAAAACATTAACAGTACAGAAAACTTGGAGAGATTATAGATGATATCTGTTTTCTAAATTCTGCCTTTTCTGTGTTTTCTAGTGTTCTAAAGTCACAGTCCTTTACTTTGATCATTAGAAATAAAAATAAACTTTTTAAAGCAATGAGAAATCCCTCAATCCCACTGTAATTCTCTGAGCTGTCATCAATCAATTGATGCAGAAAGAAAGACAACTGCTCCAAGGACAAACTTTTCCAAAAGCAGGACTTCAACTAGGTGGCTTTGCCACTTACTAGAGCCTCAGGCAGCTGGGGGTGAGGTGCGGGAGGAAAGCCTGTCTCAGGTTCCTGGGAGAGGCGGTGAGTGAAGGGAACGAGAAAGGAGGCCACCTTCACCCCCAGGATGCCACACTGGGCCTGTCCTTGAGCATGAGAACACTGCTTCTCCTTTTGCAGGTGTTCACAAAGAAGGGGTACCATGCATAAGATTCTTGGGGAGAAAGGGAAAGACTAGCAGGGCAAATACCCAGGCAAGAAGGGGTTAATTCAGGAGCTGCTGTCAGTCTTGACCTTCCTAATCCTCTCTGGCAGTTTCAATCCCTCCCCTGAGGAAGATTAAGTAAGGATCCTAAATGAAGCCTTCTTGCCCAGCCCTGGGCCATGCTGGCTCCAAGCCCAGAAGACAAATTCAGCTGGTAAAATTTACAGTTCTCTGTTCCTCCAAGGTAGCCAGGACTTGATTTTTAGGAGGATCCCTCTAAGAGAGGAGTCTTTTTGCAAGCTCCCTGCTCTAATAATGGTTGTGCAGGCCCACATTTGTCAAAATGGCCTCTTATCCCCGTTAGCTTATTTGAGACTCAATACTTTGGAGATGAGCGACGAGGGCCTGGAGAAGTTAAGGGGCCCCATCAACAAGTTCCATACAGAGCCGAGCAAAAAGCTGCTCTTTCAAATCTCAGGCCGGGGGCTCTTTCTAATTCCTTTAATGCCCATCATACAAACAAAAGCAAAATCTAACCTGACCCACTACTCGATCACTTGCTATTTTTGTCCACTCCTACCGTCCTGACCCTGACTGAAAGCTGACTCTCATTGGGTCATTTCTCCCAATTGAATAAGCTCCAACAACTTGTTCTTCCTCCTGCTCACCTATGCCAAGTCAGACTCTCTAAAGATTCCAAGCCTCAGTGATGACATTTTTTTTTGACTCTGCCTTCCCCCTGCCCCAAACTGCTTTCTTACTTACTAAATAGGACTGGCTCTGGGGAGACAATCTCCTCTTGGGGCTACTACTGGCTCCCATGGGAAATCAAACTGGGCTCTTCTGCCGCCATACCAGGAAGGCTGAAGCAGGAGCTGTGCCTCTGGGAGGCAGGAGGTCTTCTTCCTGAGAACCCCAAGGTAGCTCACCCACGCCCATCAAAAATCCAAATATAAATAGAAAGTACAAAGGAAAATATTTAACCCAGTCTGGGTGGGAAGAGGAGTTCAAGGAAAGTTCTAAGGAGAGGATAGTCCTGAAGCCAGCAGCGGCTGGTAGCATAGCAGCATGTTTAGGGACTTGAAGCCAGGGAGAAAGGCAAATTCAGAGAAGTACCTACAAGTGCTCGGGTACGGCTGGATTGTGTGTGTGTTGGGGCGGGGTGGCAGGCCAAAAAACATGAGGTGGGAGGTTATTGGGGAGAGATGTGGCTGGGACTAAAAGAAGGGTCAGAGCTTGAGAGCTTTTCTGACTTCTGGGACGAGAAAGTTTGAACTTCACCCTCAAAGCAATTAATCATGTTTTTCAAAGCACGTCAGAGGGGTCGGATGGCACTTATGATTTGATTTTTATTTAGAAAGATCCTTGACTACTACTGGGTGGCTAATTGATTGCAGCGGCAGGGCAGAAGTGGAATTAGAGAAGAAGTTTGAAGTGCCTATGAGATTTCCAAACGGATAAGAGATAATAGTTGAGTGGTTTGAATGAAGGTTTGGACCTTGGGGATGGAAAGAAGTGGATGCATTCAGGATATATTTGAAGGTAGACCTGCTAGAACTCCCTAATTGATTTACGTCAAAAAGAGGTGACAAATCAAGAATGACAGGCTAGGGTTACCCACTGGCTGGTGATCCCATACAGATGCAGAACACTGTGAAGAATAGTTTGGGGTGGAGTGAAAAGAAGGCAGAGACTTCAGCTTTGTGCGTGTTGAGGCTTGAGGAGCCACTACACTAAAATATTCAGATGGTGTGACTCCCCTTGACTTCAGGAGAGAAATCGGTGCCACAGAAATGAATTCAGGAGGCGCTGGGGTAGGGCTGGAATGGATGGGCTCACCATGGAGAATGTGAAACCCTGTGGGAGAACAAGAGTGGACAGAAGAAGAGGAAGTTATGAAGGAGACTGAATGAATCATTCTGAGGGGTAGGGAAAACTGGGCTGGTGTTACAGAAAGCAAGGGAGGAGACAGCTTGATGGAGAAGACGAGGTGAGATGACAGAGTTATGCCTATTGGATGTGGGGACGAGGAGACCGTTGATAACCTCGGTGAGAACGTTTTCGGCGGAAGGTTAATGGCAGAAGTCAGACTGCAGAGGGCTGAACCATGACTGGGAAGGCGAGGTGGAGACGCCGATATTCAACGGCTTAAGAATTTTGTCTGCAAAGAGACACTCAGGATAGGGTGAGAGGGAGGGGAGGTGCGGCAGGGAACTCACAGTGCTAAGTGTCTGCAGTAGTCACCCAAGATACTCACCGGAGACACATAGAGAGCCAAGCAGCACTGAAAGCCCCTGGGAGAGGCAGGCCTCGTCAGGAGAGGTAGAATTCTGCCCAGGTGAGCGGTGAGAAAACCAGCGCCCGGAAAGGATTCACTCAGTATCACGACTGGTAAGTGACGAGCAGAGATTCAAACTAGATTGCCCTCCCCACCTCCCAACAAATGTTTATTGGCCTCTTTCCACACTGCTTTGCATCAACTTTGGCATCGTCATATCCGTCATGATTGAATAGTCTTGTCAAGCGCCTGCCAATGCTGCCGAGGCACAGGAGGTTTAATATATGGTTTCTTCCCTCAAATTGTTTAGAATTTGATTCAACTAGCAAAATAGTCAACAAATGCGTATGCGTATGCAATGGGGACACTCTTCCTGTCTCTGCCCTTTCTCGATCTTTGTCTCTCCTCCTTTCTCTGTTTCTTCTGTCTTGCGCTCTCTTCTTCCCTTTATTTCCCTCCTCCTTCCCCTGATTCCCTCTCTCAATCTCCTTCTCCAGCATCAGCTCTAGATGCTTTCACTGAAGTGTCAGTGACTCATTTAGAAAGTCCATATCTGGGGGCCTCCCTGGTGGCGCAAGGGGTTAAACACCGCACTATGAAGCAATACGCAGCCTCTGCAGCACGAGTTCAATCCTCGGCTGGCCAGGGAGAAACCCACATGGTGCAACAGACCTCTCCTGTCTCTCCCGCTGCTCAGTCTGCCTGTTCTGTTCCCCACTCTGTCTCTGGTGAATCCTCCTACCCCACCCGCACCCCTAACCTGTACCCCAGCTCTCGTATGCACAGATAAATAAAAATCTTTAAAAAAAAAATCCATATCTTACAGTCCCTCAGACTTCCTTATCACTTCAGTCATTCACTAGAGAGACCTCTTTGAACAACAGCCCTGGGCAATGCACTGTGCAAGGCACTTGGGACCCAGATGCAGTGTTTGTTCCCAAGGAGCCCAGAGAAGAGTGGGGGAACAATAAGGATTTCAACAGGCAAGTGCAATAGAGTGTAACAAATACTAGCCAGACCTCACACTCCTTGTCCATATAACAGGGATCACTGATACTCCTTACAAAGCATCGCAGTGATGACTAGGTGAGTTAACATGTGCAAAGTGCTTATAATGCTCACATAGGAAGTACTAGACAGTATATGTTGCCATTATCCTTATTACTTATTATCCTTATTATTGTTGCTGATTCGTTGTTTATTGTTACTGTGGAGGTAAGAAAAAACAAGACACTGTAAGATCATAGAGGAGGGGCCCTTGGTCCAGGTCAGGGTAAAGGGCGACAAGATGTGAAACAGACAGATTCCTTCTGCAAGGAAAAACCTGTGCTCAGGTCAGCAGCAAAAGACAACATGACATCATTGAGGAACTGAGAGTCGTTTAGTTCAGCAGGTGTGCGGAGTATGAGGAGGGGAATGGCAGGAAAGGAAGTGTGAGAGTCCATAGGGTCCAAACAGGTTTGGACTCTATCCTGTAACTGATGGGGAGCCACCGGAATGTTTTATATGGAGTCATGACTCGATCAGGTGAATGTGTTGAGACATCACCTTAGCAACAGTGTGGGGACGAATCGGAAGAGGCCAGACTGGAAGTAAGATAGTTAGGAAGTCACTGCTGTGGTTCAGGCGACAGGGGATGATGATGCCCTGAGCTGAGGCAGTGGCAGGGGGGCTGGAGAGAGGGGTGCTGCCGGAGATCAACTCAAGGAGTAGAGATGGTGGGACAGTGACCGTAGAGGGTAAGGCATAAACCCAATGGTGGTGCCAAGGATCAGGCTGGAGCGAGGGATGGCTAGAGATATCATTCCTTGACCGCAGGGAAGCCAGGAAAGAACTGTTTGGGAGGGTGTGATGGGGGAGGTGGCAAGTTGTCTTTTGAATGCCAAATTGGAGGAGCCTGGGAGGTTTCTGAGTGGTTATTTGCAATAGGTGATTGCTCTAGCAGTCGTGAAGCTCAGGGTGTTCTACCCTGGGAACACAAATTTAGAACAGGATACAGTGGCTAGGTGGGAGATTAAGTCATAGGGGCGGATATGTTTGCACAAGAACAGAGTTGTCTGAGAAAAGCATGGACTTCCAAGGAATATTCATGCTTAAGACATGAACAGGGAAAGAGAAACCTTGAGGAAGGCTAAGATGAAACAGCCATATATTGATAGATTGAAAAGTATCGGGCTGGAAGGTCTTGCAGAGGATGGGATGGATGTGCCCTCGTGTCTTTAACCTTGTGAAGAGTGGGGGCTCCTTGGACACTGCAAAATGCTGCCTGACTCTGAGATGCCAAAGGATTGGCTCAGGACCTCTTATGAAGTTCTTTATTCCAATCGCTGCCCTTTTCTCTGTCCACCCTAATACCACTAAATAGCCTAAGGAATTTGAGGGCTCCCTCCAGAGCCTGGAGCCACCTTTGGTCCAGAGTCCTTCCCCATCATCTACAAGCCTTGGGGTGATGGGGACATCAATTAGAGGAGCAGATAGGAAATGTCTGGGTGTTATGCACACAGGAGGTCTTCGGCTAGTTCGTGGAGGGGAATTTGGGCAAGGCTAGGAGGCCCTGAATGCACAGAGTGGACTGAAGCCTTTATTGAGTGGACTGAGGCCCCAGCCTGCCCTGGAGTAGATTTTCACTTTGGGTAGCGTGAGCCAGGCCTAGACCACTGCTCTCTAGGCCCTTGGAGATTCAAGAGGCATCTAATAACTTGGAGTCCAAAGTTATATGCTAGGACCTCCCCCTGAGCCAGTATCCTGGAATTTGGCCTCAGTCTGCAATTGAGGGGCCCCAGGGCACTGTTGCTGGGCAAGGCATTAAACAGCAGACCTTGGAGATGAAACTGCACCAGCCAACAGCCCGACCCAGAGCTAACATCGCCACACCAACTGCCACTGCCAACGCGACCTTCTCGGAAAGCAGCCACCTGTCTGACCCCTGGCTTTGTCTGGCTGCCAACCTAAGGCATGTGCCTACGCAGGAGGCAATGACATTTTGGCTCCACTTTCAAAGTTTTTTTTTTTTTCTTTCTCATGTGTTATTTCTAAAGATAACAAAGGTCAAAAGGCATTCAGCGTTTTCTGGTTTCTCATAAGCTTCTGGTCAATATTTAATCTGGTTTATGGATTTTTTAGGTCTTCTAGATGCCTTCTTGAGCCTGCTTGTAACCACCCACAGACACTTGCAAGGAGGAAAGGAGTCGGCCTGACAGAGACACTCTGAAATGAAGGATTAGAGGCCGGGATTCAAGGAGTAGGCGCTACAATCAGAAGGCGAGGGAGCAGGCCCTGAAGTCGCTTCTACCAAGAGGTGTGCCATGGCCTCTCTTGGTCTCCAACTTATAGGCTACATCCTGGGCCTTCTGGGGCTGTTGGGCACCCTGGTCGCCATGCTGCTCCCCAGCTGGCGAACAAGTTCTTACGTTGGTGCCAGCATTGTGACGGCAGTTGGCTTTTCCAAGGGCCTCTGGATGGAGTGTGCCACACACAGCACAGGAATCACCCAGTGTGACATCTACAGCACCCTTCTGGGCCTGCCTTCTGATATCCAGGCTGCCCAGGCCATGATGGTGACATCGAGTGCAATCTCTTCGTTGGCCTGCATTATCTCTGTGGTGGGGATGAGATGCACAGTCTTCTGCCAGGACTCCCAAGTCAAAGACAAAGTGGCGGTAGTGGGAGGAGTCCTCTTCTTCCTTGGAGGCCTCCTGGGCTTCATCCCTGTAGCCTGGAATCTTCACGGGATCCTGCGGGACTTCTACTCTCCACTGGTGCCTGACAGCATGAAATTTGAGATCGGAGAGGCACTTTACTTGGGCATTATTTCCTCCCTGTTGTCCTTGATAGCTGGAATCATCCTCTGCTTTTCCTGCCCATCCCAGGGAAATCGCTCCAACTACTACGATGCCTACCAGGCTCAGCCCCTCGCCACTAGGAGCTCTGGTCAACCACCCAAAGCCAAGAATGAGTTTAACTCCTACAGCCTGACAGGGTATGTGTGAAGAACCAGGGGACAGCGCTTGGGGGGTGGCTGGGTCTGTGAAAACCCGTGGACAACCCCTCCCCGGGGCCACAGGTGAGGGACATTGCCACTGGATCATGTCAGAAGGTGCTGCTGAGGATAGACTGACTTTGGCCCACTGGATCAAGCGAAGGCAGACATGGGAGCTGGTGTGACAGTTTTCAGGTTGAATTGCCAAGAAGTCAAGCCAGTCTTTCTGTTTCCTTCACCTTGGCCCTCTTACCCCCCGCCTTGAGTGCCCAGCCTTCAACTGCGAACACCAAGCCCCTGCTCTAGGTCAGGCTCCAGAGACTCCCTTCTGACTTTGGTTTACTTGGGAATCCATCTTAAACGCCCCCTTCCCTGACGACCCTGTATGATCAAGGACTATCCCTCTTAGCTCATTGCTGGGTGATGGGGTGGGGGGGGCGGGGAGAAGGGTGGCTTTTATGGGCATTGCGCTAACCTTCTCAAGCTTCCCTTCAAAGAAACTGATTGGCCAGTAACTGGTCCTGGAGCCTCCATTCCACTCTTCTTATGACTCCACTGTGTCTTCACTGGTTTATGCAGGATCTGAAATAAAGTCTGCCCATAGTATTGAGGGGCAGAAAGCAACAGGGTGCAGGATGAGAGGGAGGGGAGGCAGCCAAAGCCAAGGACCCCAGCAAAGACCAGAATCATTGTCTGGGCTGTTCCTCAGCATTCTATCGTACTTGTGGACTGGGCATCTGGTCCGTGGCTAGAGAAAAGCACAAGGACAGAAGATATGGTGGAAAGGTCAAGGTGGCAGCAGACACTGACTCCACTGAGGAGCTGCCCCAGAAGATGCAGTCCCAACTTTCACTGAAACCCTCACCTCCCTCTGAGGCACCTCCTACGAAATAGCAAAGCTAAGGGGACTGCACCATTGTTTCCTGAGGAAGGGGGACTAGTTTTTCTAGAGATGGCCTTAGGCTGTGTGATGACAGCATGGGTGCTGTGGAGTAGGGGTGGGTGTTGAGGAAGTTACCACTGTTTGATGCTGCCTGAGAAAGAAAAAAACTTTGGTATCTAAGTCACTGATTGGACATGTGTGGTGGTGCCAGAGAGCACCACAGCATTGGGTTTCCATTGGGCCAGAGAGTGGCGATCCCCTAGAGAGTCTTTAGGCCTAACAGAAAATCAGCTCAAAGACTGAGTTTGGGCTCCTGGGGGTACACAGAGAGCACCACAGCACCTCAGCAGCACCAGGTTGGCCCCCGGTTAACCTTTGTATTTCCCCCACCATCTTTCACCAGACATTCCAGAGTGGCTAGAAGTTAACCAAGGGCTTCGGCGTGGAACAATCACATCCAAAGGGCTATAGCCTTGATCTGAGCAATAGCTGAGCTGCTGCTTGGGATTTCAGCAGAGGTGGGAGAGGAGAATGGTGCCCAGGTAAACAGTGACAGCTCCAAGGTCTGAAGATGCTGTCTTTCCGCCCCAGAGTGGGGGGAGCCAAAGGCATTTTCCCTCACCAGCCTAAGCATAACCAGCTTCTGATAAACTCCAGTCCATCTCCCCAAACGTCAGTGCCAGTAGAAGGGGCCCTTTTATTTTCTTTAACATTCCTTTCATGTTTCTGCCTTTCCCCTGTGTTTAAGTTGTTCTCCCAACCTGGAAGACCCTCTCCCCTTAGTCAAGTCTTCCTCGAGCTTGGAGAACTTACTCAGCACCACCTCCTTCACTGAGTCTCATCTGACCACTCCATTCCTCTTCTATTCCTCTCTCGTCCAAGCCTCAATATATAAATTGCTTCTTTGATGCTTATCATTTAAGATTTTTGATGAATAGTTGTCTTTTTCATGTGTGTGTATCTGATTTCACAATTATATTGTAAACTCTGGGAGGACAGGGGCCATATCTTAGACATCTCTATTCCCCAGACTATCTGTAAGAGTGCTGGGAATAGGTGATTATTAATAGGTGATTAATAAACATTTGTTGATTGAGTAACTGTTTTGTTAATTCAAAGGGGCCCAGTCAGGGCAGTTGTGATGGAGAGAATTGGGCTAAAGGGAGGGTAGGGTGGAAGTTGGTCTCTTTCCCTACTGGGTGGGTAGAAAATTCTAGGTGTTACTGAGTCATTAAAAAGCAAGACACCTCCTTCCCAGGGAAACTCACCTTTTCGTTTTGCCCAGGGCTCCTTACTTTTCACAATTGTTTCATTTCAGTTATTAATGGTTGTGTGTTAATTCCTTTCATTCTCTGAATGAAACTATCGTGATGATAGTGAAACAATCTGATAATCTCCATTGGCAGATGGGGAAACTAAGACCCCATATAAGTAAAGAGACTTTCCCAGGGCCAGAGATCCCCAAATTGCCTGAGGAAACCAAATTATGGCCAGCAAGGTAACAGTGGGGACACACAGGCTCTCCTGGTCTCCCATGAGAGGGGTCTGAGAAAGCAGCACCAATTCACCGAGTGTGCCACCTGGAAATGCCCCTGCTGTTCGACCCACCTGGGAAGATTGTCCCATGGGGCTGTGGGGTTTGCCAAGCTTACGTTTAACTACCACTCAACATCTTGATTCCAATATCCCTTACTCTGGAGGTCTGGGACTTTGGGAGAACAATGATTTGGTTTTGTTCTCATTTCAGTGGGAATTAACAAAGCGTAATTCATAAAGATACTAACTATGGCAACAGTGAAAACAACGGGGACTGACAAGAATCAGCCTGACGACCCCTGGGCCTGGTGAGCGTCAGCATAGAGAAGTGTGTTACACCGGCGCTTCCTTATACTCCTGAGGTGGGCCTTCTTTGGTGCAGAGGCTGAGGGTCTCAGTATCCAAGCCCATTTAGAGGGAATGGCAGTGGGTAGGAATAAGGGATGAGAGAGAGAATTCCCTGGACAGAAGCTTCACAAGAAGTCAGGTCTCTGGTCTGGCACCAAGAGACAGAGTCTTTGACTCAGTGGGGCCATTAGAGGTTGGAAGATGACATGATCTTGCTGACTCTGCTGAGCTGAGCTGGCAGCAGTCTGGTACAGGATCATCAGATCCACCCTTGGCAGCCAAAGCAGTTTTGGACCTGTGATTTTGTTGCATCCTCCAAATACGCCAATGGGACGGTTCTGTTATAGGAGACAAAATGGCGGCCCAGAGAGGAGAGTAATTTCCTGAAAGTCACAAAGTGTCAGTCTGTGCATCAACGTGGAAACTCTTCTCACAACAATGTGGGTCTGGACGTCTGTCTCAGAAGCTGAAAGAGGGCTTGTTGCTCTTTAGTCTCCTGCAGCTATCCCGTCCTTGCCTGTGCTGGAATATGAGCCTTTGAGGGAAACAGGGCACAGAGCATCCCTTCATCTTAGGCTGGCCTGGGAGGTCCTCCTTCCTTTTAATCTGGGAAGAGTCTATGGAATGGGTTAGAAGTTCTTCCTCAACTAGAAACACCAGAGCAGACCAAATAAAGAGCAACTGTTCTCTTTGGCTGGTTAAGCAAGAAAAACCTTGCTCTAAATAGTTTCCTAGAACTCTCCCTGAGTCTGGGTCCAAGTCGAATAGCTTTCAGTTCACTCCATTGCCTTCCCTCATAAAGTAATTTAGATTAAGCCATAGACCGAGGGGATAGTAAAGGCCATTCATTGTGTTTATGCCCCTGCCTCATGGCTCTGACCCTTGCACAAGGAGAGATGTTTCTGCCCTCCCTCAATTCTCTGATAATAGTGTGACTCATGTTTTCTCCCCCTTGGGACCCACTATGACGTGATAATTAATGAGGGGATAAGGAGGCTGAAACTGACTTCTTGGTGGAAAGATGAGCTCCGACCTTCAGCCAAACAATTGTAGATCCAGTTCTCTTGCCAGCCTGCCCACAGGAACTGCACTCTTACTCCGAGTCAGGCTTTGAGGGCCACGAGGGCAAGCAAGGGCCACAAGGGTGACCAAGGTAAAGTGCGCTGTATAGGAATCACCAGTTGATCTATGGAAGATAAGACATACACACCTAACAGTGGTACCAGACACCCGTCGTGTAGGAGATGGGGGAAAGTCAGAGGGGATGATGTCGGGGCTTCTGGGGGAAAGCATGTAAAATCCCTCAAATCCCAATCCATATGAAACGAGCATCTGGCCTACTTGAGCTTCTGGGGGAAGGACAGTCAACAGAAACTGCTTTCTCCAACTGAAGGACCTTGGAGAAAAAGGGTAGAGAGCAGGGTTAAGGTACAAACAGGGATGCGTTGGGGGACCAACCCAGCACAACTTTCAGTTTGCCTCACGGGACCCCTAAGTGGCTCTAATGGAGAGAGTGACCCTGGTCATCAAACTCTCCTCTCTCATCTCCTTCCCTTGGAGAGGTCTCTGGAAATTTCCAGGGGCAGCAGAGCCATTGCACATCCATGTAACCTGAAGCCTTTAACTCTGAACCAAAGGAGACTTGGGAGAAGGGGGAGGAGAGATAAGGGGCCTAGTGCTAAAGGAAGGCAATGAGGCCTTTCAAGATCAACTACTGACTCCCACTCTGTCTTGGGCCTGTGGATAGATTTTTTTCGAGCTGCAACTACCCACTCTGAGACATAGAGGACTTGGATTGGAAGTGCGTGCTCCTCCTCAGCTGGCTAAAGTCTGGCCTTTACCCAGCCTGGTCTCCCGGGCCGAGAGGGGCCCTAACTTTGATGAGATATTCTGTTATCTCGACAGGGAAAAACTCAAACAGGAAGTCCAGCAGGTTATCTCTCTCTAAGTGGTGGCTCGACTTGCTGTGATGTGATCACTGATAAAATATTAACAGGCTGTTATCAAACACAGCAGTATGGAAACTATAATTCAACCACCCCTCCACCTCACATAATCCACTACTTTCCTGGGAATTGCAGTTCAGGAATCCCTAGCTAACTCTTACCTACAATTCCCCTCTCTAGGTCTCATTTCTCCATAAGACCAGCAGTGGTGTCTTAGGTCCTGACAAAGCAGGAAGTTGCCACACAAGGGCAAATCGTCAGGTCCTGCTTTCCTGTCATTCCTAAAGTCCCTCCAGAAGGCACCCCTCACTCTTCACAGGTCACCCGCTAGGAGGGCTTTGAGGAACTTTCTATTTGCGAACATTGCCTTGAGGGGATACCATCAAGAAAACTTACATGCTTTTTAGATACTAGGGAGTTTAATGGGATGTGAAATAAGATGCCAAATGAGTACGAGTTGTGTGGCAGGTGACCCAGCATTTTGGCTTAGCTCCTTTTCTCCAGTAAGACTTTCAGAGTCTGAGATGTTTGACACAGTTCTGTGTGGGTTGCTCCGGAGAAAAGCCAGTCACACCAAAAGTTCCAAGAGAAGATGATCCTAGCAGCTTCTTCACTTGAATTTATTTCTGGAATTACCCAGTGGGATTGGCACCTCCCTCCCCCAAAGGGTATCTGAGGATATGGTGAAGACCCCACTCCCT